AAAATCGATTTATTTTAGCCCAGAATTCTGTAACATGTTCTTATATGGTTTATGACCTTTAAATCCATACCGGAGTAAAATTCTCTCTATGGTAAAAAGTTCGTCATCCCAAGTTTTAATCAACAACAATGTAAAAGACAGAGCTTTTAAAGTCTGGGTCATGTTATCTCCTAGTGCTACCCAACGATTGTCTAAACACTCGCAGCAGAACAAAAAGAAGCTTTTTGTGCAGTGCAACCGATTTTTCATATTATACCGCGTTCGGCACAACTGATTGGTCGATATAGTAGTCTAATATAGACAGATATCTGTTAGTCTGACAAATGTTTTGATTATCCAAAAATTGAAAAGATTTCCAGTATAATTTGAATAAATATTACTTTTTTGAAACTTTTTTCAAAGTCACCCATTAGCTTGCACAAAAGTCAAGTGTAAGTAAAATCAGCGGTGAATCTAAGTAAGAATTGAGCGAGTATCGGTATTTATATACTTTCTTCTGATGCAGTTAAATGTTAAACAATTAATTTTTATACTAATCTGTAGGTTGGTTACGTTAATAATCAAGTCCATCGAGCGTGTTCAAACCGTTATTGTACACCAACAGATATCTCATTGGATGATGATGTTAACATTGAAATATGCTGTCGATCAGATTTATGTAATTCTATTTCATGTGAGTTTATCACGTCCTAAAATATATAGGTATTTCAAGAACAATATAGCAAATTATTTAACAGTTCAATTTAGCGTGAAATCATTTTCGATATGGTATTTTTACCATCAAAGTGATAGAAAACTCAGCATAAAATTGACAAGTTTTCACCAAACTGTTCAAAATTTATTTTTATATTGAATGTTTTATTTTAGTAATGGCACGAGATAACAAAACAAGTTCAGTTACAGAGACAAATATGACTTCCTCTATAGCATCGTCGTCCAATATTCCTATTATCGGTGACAAAACATCGTCGCCGTCAAATTCTATTGATAACAATTTTCAGCGTGAAATTTCACAAATATCTAATGATGGACCAGATAAAAGCTGGGATGCCAATAATCCACTAACGTTTGATATCTCTATGGATGGTGTTGACAATAGCAGGGCAGTAGTAAATTACCAATCAATCAGCTACATTATTGCAGCAATACTCTCTTTATTAATATTATCCGTCTTCTAAATTAATCATATTTTCAAACGAATTATTTAAGCTTTCTTACATATAGTAATGTTAAATGATTGACTCCATCTGGCCATTCCACGTAATTATCAGTTTTTGCATGATTTGAACACATTTTGACAAACTCATAGCTTGGATTCACTTAACCTACACAGATGGAGAAAGTCTTCTGTTGCACCTTAAACATTTCTTTTTCATATGACAACCAGACAAAGTCTAGTCGTTGACTCACTTCGCAGATAGCCTGCTTTAGAAAAGTGATTGTTCTTTGATACATGTCATCTTTATTAGTACTTTATTATACTGCAGCAAAATCAACGTTATAGTATTTTGTTAAATTCCACACATCTCTCTCTGTTTATCTATGATGTTCGAAATACGGAAATTTAGTGATAGTATGTGGTTTTTATAATATAAGGATTAGTTTTAAAGTAATTATTTTCTTTTTATTTATATGTATGTTTAATTCTATGTCGACATTTTTACAATAAAAGTTGTTCTTCTAGTTGGTAAAATGAAAAATTTTGATCCTCCGTGCATCAGCAGTTTAATTCCAATTTCTGCAAACATGTGTTGAAAATTTGAATAAAAAATAGCAAAACAGGGTTAAATAATATTTATTACGTTTATTGACCATCAGGTATAAGATGATCTGCATGTATATCTTTACATAAATGCATATTGTTTTAATCTCGTTTATTGATGTAAAAAAGTAGAAAATCCAAAAGATACAAGCTACAAAAGCGGATCGAGGATCCATATACAAGTGGTGACCGTAAAAAAAAGAAACAAACCCTTAACTGTTATAGATTCGCTAACCCATACTAAATAGTACAAGAGGAAAAAATAAGAGAAGAAGCGAGAAAAAGAAAAGAAATATTATAAATAAATAAGTATACAAGTAAGCATAAAATGTGAGTTGTGTTGGGTGTTGGTACTGCAGATGTGTAGGTCGAGTGAATCAGACAGAAGTAGAGAATCTTCCTGTATCAGCAATATAGTTTACGACTAACTCGACGATAACTCCAACTGTTACTTTGTCAAACAGTACTCGTAACAGAAGTGATTCAAGATCCGGTTTAACATCTGGAATCCTGTCAGAGAACTGCGTCATTAGGTTTTCTCTCTCCTTGTTATAATTGAGGCACTCAACAAAGAAATGGTAAACAGTCTCTTTTATTGGACTATTACATTCAACTACCCAAGCGAAAATTGCCCAGCGGAAAAATCTAGATGTTCTTGCTGGAGCATTGGGCTATGCGCCAGCAAGAACATCTAGGTAAAAGAGTAAAAAATATTGACTTATCTAGACGTATCGGGTTGGATCCGATGCCACACAATGCAAATCTCAATGCCTTGAGAAGCCAGAAAATAGGCAGGTAAAGCAGTGCTTGCTTACAGTAGTCTGGTGCGTGAACGGAGACAAAAAAAATATGCTTATTTCGTGCACTTTTCGTTTTGGACCTACCCAACTTCATTGGATAAAAGTTCTGAGTTTAAACCAAAATCAAATAAGATTTCATCTCCAAATATCTCCGTACATGCAGTAGAGCCGAAAAAACTAAAAACCAAAGATGAAATCTCTTTTGATTTTGGTTTAAACTCAGAACTTTCATCCAATGAAGTTGGGTAGGTCAAAAACGAAATAAGCATATTTTTTTGTCTCCGTCCACGTACCAGAGCACTGTATTGAAATAAATGTATTTATTGAAACACTGACATATCCGTGCATTGACAATGATGTCTAGATGTATTGTCTGAATCACTGAGTCAGCCAGATGCATGAACCACTTAATGGACGCTAAATGCAGTGTTCACAACATTGCTCATGTAGATGCATGGGCAATGTTATGTCGTTACATCGAGAAAAACATTTATCTGTATTTGGATGCATCTGGATATCTCCATATTTATCTGGATACAACGTGCGATGTCTCGATGACTTTCTTTTCACGCATTTAGATGCATTGACCAGTGAATTGACGAATCTAGATACATTGGGCGATACTCCATGCTTTTTGTGTGCTTGGGTATAAATTAAAAGAAAAGAACTCGCCATGTGTTTATCAAATGTTTTCCTCAAAGGAAGATGATATAAGTGAGGTTCTAAATCAATAAAAGCAAAATGTTTCACGAACTAAACTGTAATCAGTAACAATTGGCGACATTGCTCATTGAAAAAATATATTAAAATCGAGAACCGCTTCATCAGCAGCTGATTCAGCAATTAGACGTTAATATCAGAAGTTAAAAGAATGATCATAAAGCGTTACACATTTTCCATTTCTGAAAAAAGTTTAAACATGATCAAACAAGAGATGGCATGTCGGACATTTAACAGACACCTATTAATTGACAACAGTAAATGAGTGATATTGATAGTCCCATGGAAACAAAAAAGGTCAACATCTATGTAAGATCTTTTTAATATCAAATTGACTGATAAAATTACTATCATTGTAACTGACTTCCTCTTCTGAGGACGAACAATGCATCATTAGTTATAATTATGATTGAACTCAATCCGGATGCATTGACATTAGTTTCTATATGTAGTATTTATTTTCGATTCAAACGTCTCAACTAGTGTGAAACACTTGTTTTAAGTTGATAATAGCGAGAATTAGACTATGAAGAAAGTGAATCAGTTTAGGTTAGATCGTATGAAAGCAAGTACAGTTGTGCATATTGAAAATGAGTGAGCTTCAATGGGTGACCGGCAGCAGCAGCGGATACACGTTTTTATTAAATGCAGATTAAATGACGTACGATGTATGAAGGTTGATCAACATATATTCAAGTAAACCAAAACTGCCTTTGAAGATGAGCTATTCGAAATTTACAGTGATCATGTCTGACGATGAAACACTAGTCAGCAATACTATTGTTTTTATGAAACAATGGGATTATTCGGTAAAATTTCAAAAATTAGGTATATTGTCTATTTTTCTCTTTTTTCTGGCATTTCAAAAATTAAAACTTACTATTACATTAATATATTGTAGAGAAATGTTTGCTCTTGAAACGTCAATCGGAAAAGTGAATTTGAAGTTATTTCTAGCAAAAATGTGAGCATGTCAAAGTTGTCTACTTATATGGGATTGTAGTCCACACATTTCTCTACAAAATGAGAGATTCCGCGACTCTGAGTCGTTCTGTATAGCCGACTTACAACAATTGTCGTGGAAGCCAAAACATCAGTTTTTAACTGATGGATGATGCATACTAGTGATGGGCGTTTGAAAATTTCATGTCAGACGATGAAACACTAGTCAGCAATACTATTGTTTTTATGAAACAATGGGATTATTCGGTAAAATTTCAAAAATTAAAACTGATCATTACATTCATCCACATGGAGCGATAATCATTATGTATTAGGCCTCGAAATCGGGCAATTTTTCGATGGTGTAGCCACCAGATCACACCTAGATCTCAGTTCCTTCAAGACTCGGATGGTTGAAAGTTAGTTTTCTAAACACTGGCCAGTCCGTTGAGTATACTGTGCCCATTCGGACAGGCCCGATCTAAAACTGATTAGAAGTAAATTTCTCTTACAGAAAGATTTCTGTAAATGTACCTTATGCTATTAATTTTATTCTATTTTCAACATTGCTGCAGTTCAATCACGCTCTCATACTGTTTATTGCGATTAGCATTCCACCCATAGCCTTGTATGTGAAGGAGAAGTATCATCAAACTGAAAAAGTGCTTTGATTTTATTGATTAGCTGAATGAAACTTATAAAACGCTTGTATCGTAAAGCTTTCTGATCGTTATAACTTGCAACATGCACAAATCTTGATTAAGGAAAGGAGTAAAATGTTGGGCCGGGCGGCCTATTTCGAGGCCCATTATGTGTGTTGAATGCATTCAGAGTTTCACTAAAGACCTTGTTTTGTCAACAGAAGCCAAAACGTTCTGTCGCAGCGTCGAAAACTCAGTTATGATGTCAGAATGCAAAATTCACGGCAAGTATTATAAATTCTGATGCAACGCTCTTTATCTTTCGCAACTTCTATTTCTCGCGCAAATCAACCCATTCTTGTAGCCAACAGAATATTTGTTTGATTTATAGCGTAATAAAATAAGGGATAAAGTGTTACTTCCACTTTGAACCCAATTTTATGTCACTACTAATGAATGTGAAGGAGAATTGTCTCTTATGACATTCCATGTAGTCTCAGCTGATCATAATAATTACAAACTATGTTTTGTCGAACATTGTAACGAAGAAGATATGCATTTTAATAATTGTAAAATCACATACGACTCATGCATCACTAGGGTTTTATTAAAAAGTATTTAGAAGAATATCAATAAATTAGAAATAGCTAGTAATTTCACAATTTATTCAGAGCACATATAATCAAGAACAAGAAGTGAATAAAACAAATATATTGCTTTTACATCTCTTGATCTTGAAAATGTGTCTGTTTAGATCGTTTAGCTTGAGGTTTTTCAATAATAATTCAAGCCTATGTTTTTTGTGAAAATTCTTAAATATTAAAGAATTCTTATTAACATTAGGAAAATAGCTATATCCAGAAATCATCCATTACTTTATGGTTCTTGAGGCTAAGGCACTTATTATATAAGAGTAACCGTTTTAGCAAATGATCTAGTCTTCGATCTTTTATTCTAATCATTAAAGCTTTGAACACATATTGAGGACTTCATTCGCATATGAGAACAAAAACGATACCTGATCAAATTGTTATGCAGTCTGAATAACGAATTTATAGAACTTTCACTGGTTTCCCATTATGTATGTTGGTGGAAAACAAAGTGGTTTATGTGTCTTTTATATGTCCAACTATAAAGGAAACGAAATAATACATTTTTCTAGAACTGTTTTCTAAAACTTTACTAATCCGGTTTGAAAATAACAGTTAAAAGCTATAGCAAGATTTCAGAACGTCTGTATACCACGAATATAAATAGTGCCGAAATATTTGAGATAAATTGTACACACGTGTCAATATGTTATTAGATCTATAATTTGAATTACAAACTTCTTGCTTCTCACGTTTTAAGCATCAGTGCAGCTAACTATTTTCATAACTAAAGACATTCTCGAAGACAAAATTAGAATATCTCTGCAAGGAAAAATTATTTTCAAAAACTCTCTTCACATTTTTAAAGCTTGGAAGTTGGGCTACCTTTTCATATACAATTCAAAAGGCTAGTCCTCCGCTGAAAAAACTAGTAGGAATTTTGAGGACAAGGTCTCAGTTTTCGACCCTCCTCTGTTCCGGACCTCGCTAAAATTCAGAATAACGGTTGAGGGACCGGAAATTAGTTGGTCTTAAATCAGTTTTCAACACGGAATTCAAATCTGAAAACCGCGAGTGTATAGCACAAATAAAAAAAAGTTATAGAGGTTTTTCTGAAAACGGAAATTTTTGCGGTTTTTTGGTCTTTTCCAACATTTTTCATTTTTCTCCAGAAAACGGCCTCTAAAAACTTTTTGAAGGTGATATTTGTGATCAGCTAGACGCGGCGAATCAGAATATGTGTAAAAATACGGAAAATAAAATCTGTTGAAATTTTGCATTACGTGCATCTTACACTGAATCTTAATCGTCATTCTCATATGGTGGTCCCTATGTGAAAAAAGTCACATTTTATGAAGTGTTGTACAGTGTTGGCAAATCTATGTTGGTAAAAATACGTCATGCGACGGGGACAGAAAGATAAGAAAAACGAAGTCTTTTAACATAAGTCGTTCTTATTAGCTGGAAGTACGAGAAAAAGGCACATTCTAATCGCAGTCGCTTTTATCGGTAGGTTACGCCGTAGATTCGTTCTTTTTTCGTTTCTAAAAAGATGGCCTGACGCTTGATATCATTGGATTTTTACCGCCCACGATACAAACAAGCGCAGAGCGGCGTATAAAACTTCATCACACTGTGATTTACACTTCGTTTGTTCTCCTATAATAAATCACCGAGTTGCGCGTGTAGTGACCGTGCGTGGATTTTTTCGCGTTAATATTTTCGTAAAAAAGTTTCACTTGCGAACACGCGTCAGAATGTCTAGTATGGATTTTTATTATAAAAGGTAGAACTTCACATTAAACCACATGTAATTTTTTTTTATATATAACATAACAAAGTAAGAGTCGAACCAGGGTACTTTGAATTAGAAATCTACGATACTACTACTATTTAGCTAACTTGCCTAAGAAACTACTGAATAAATTTCATATTCATACTTGTCGGATCAGTCCTCACGAGTTACCACCTGTGAACAATTTCTCACATGTGGTTAGTTGTGAAACTCCCTAAATCTTTTTTTGCTAGCTTCCAAACTTTTTTTACTTAATACTTCCTGCCGGGGAAAAAGATGATTACCACGCATATTCCTAAGAAAATATCTTCGGTGTTCTAAAATAAGTGGCATATGATAAAGGTAATTTTCTTGTCAAAATCTTTGTCGTAAGATGTTGGATGAGAATGCTTAAATGACATCTGGTTATGTTTTCGCTTTAATTGAACATAGGAAAAGAGTATAGACTGAAGAAGTGCTCTGAATATGTTTAATTGAACTGCTCTCATAGTCAAATTCTACGCACCTTTCTGCCATTAAGTGCCATTGTGTAGGACAAGAATTTAGAAGAGAACGCAATTAGATTGAAAAGAGAACGTTTTGAATTTTTCGAAGAACGCAAATTAATTGAAATAGAAAAGAAAACGCATGAAAGAATGGAGAACGCTTTTGAATTTTCCACAGAACGCAAATAAATAGGATAGAAAAGAGAACTTATTTTAAATTAAAAATATTTAACTTTTACTATTTTTTCAATTACTAAACACATCACTGTACGGTTTCTGTGGTGTTTACCACATACCCAAGTATTGATGCAGCAGCTGAAGCTCAAGCATGGAAATGGTTGCAAGGTCTTGGTAAAAATGCTGTTATACATTGTTATCAACATAGTTATGCTATTCCTTCATCACATCCAAGTAAAATGAATGCAAACGTATGGCTTCAACAATATACAACAATGTCATGGCAAATATTTGATGAATTGTCATCATGGTTATATTCTGGACAATTAGTTACAATACCAATGATGTGTTCATGTAAAACAAATTTAAAATCATATGTATGTAAACATGCTCTTGGCATGATGATTCATTTAGACTATTATTTTGTTCAAGACCCATCAAAGTTAGAAAATTTCAGCAAAAAACGTGGTAGACCTAAAAAGACACGTTTAGCATTAATCAAATAAACATTTTTGTAGTATAGTTACATGTTTACTAATTAAGAAAATAGTAAAAATTAAATATTTTTAATTTAAAATAAGTTCTCTTTTCTATCCTATTTATTTGCGTTCTCTGGAAAATTCAAAAGCGTTCTCCATTCTTTCATGCGTTCTCTTTTCTATCTCAATTAATTTGCGTTCTCTTTTCAATCTAATTGCCTTCTCTTCTAAATTCTTGGCCTACACAATGGTACTTAATGGCAGAAAGGTGCGTAGAATTTGACTATGAGAGCCGTTCAATTAAAAATATTCAGAGCACTTCTTCAGTCTATACTCTTTTCCTATGTTCAATTAAAGCGAAAACATAACCAGCTGTCATTTAAGTATCTTAATTAATTTGCGTTCTTCGAAAAATTCAAAACGTTCTCTTTTCAATCTAATTGCGTTCTCTTTTAAATATTTTCCCCCATTGTGTATGTCTGATTACATTTCTTCCTTTACCGTGCGTCTGCTACTATTTTGTGATATCGTTAAAAATTCTTTTTAATTTTTCCTAATTGTAAAATAGTTTAAATGATAAAAATATTCGTTTTCCTTGGTATTTTCTTTTTTTAAAATTTAGTCGAGACTGATTCATATGAGTACTCTCTAAAAAAAATTCGTAGCTTACAAAACGAATATCGGTTTTGGCATTTGCTCCTAATAGAAACCGATATCCGTATCGTACGGTCCGCGATAACCGTTTCGCAGAATACGTTTCAACGTTTTTTCTCTGGTACAAAACCTAAATCCGTTCCTTCACAAGGCAAAAAACGTTGAAGCGTATTCTGCGAAACGGTTATGCAGGATCGTACGATACGGATATCGGTTTCTATTAGGGGCAAATGCCAAAACCAATATTAGTTTTGTAAGCTACGGATTTTTTTTAGAGAGTAGCCATGTATTGTGAGATGACATTGATAAAATAGCATCTGCTGTAAATTATTCGTATTTTCTTAACAATTAGGTAGTAATGAACTTTACACCAAAAACACATGAAAAGAAGCAAGATATACAAACGGTCATTAGTGAACTAAAGAAAAGGGCAGATGAAATTCAAGATTAACAAGTCAAACTGGAAGCCGAGAGAAGCATAGAAAGCAAATGGAAGAGCAAAAACGCATTGCTGAACAGCAGAGGAGAGAAGAAGAGTTGCGACAAAGCCTCGAGCAACAAGAAAAGCAACGTATTGCAGAAGAGTGTCGCAGGGCAGCAGAACGTGTTGCACTAGAAGCAGAAGCAAAAAGACTACGTGGTATGTATCGATTGTATTAAATGCAAAAGTACTAATGGTAAAAGTGTCAAAATGCTGAGGATGCAGCAGAATTCTGAGAAAAAACTAGAGCTCAGATTTAATCCTGTGGATTAGACTTTTTATTGAAGAATAGAACTAAAGATTTCATCTATAGACCAAAATTAAATACCATTATATTGAAGTTTTTCTTTAAAGCAGTTCAGAAGCAACTTTCGTCTCTTTGACGACATTTCATTCATATCAACACCATTGATATTATTCTGAGTACATTGATGTCATGAAATGCTACATATATCATAATTGTGTCTCAGCATGAGATATTATTAGTGCAAATTTGAGAACAAATAAAGTTGTCCAAGTGAGAATTCCGTTATAGGAGTTTCAAGTAGAATATTATTTTTTTGCAGTGCGTCAAAATAATGGTCACTACAGAAAACAAATCCTCACGTTTCCGAGCAAAACCTTTTGAGATTCGATACGAATTTTAAGAGGTCTTTGCTGCTAAATTTTAGAACCTCACTTATATCATCTTCCTCTGAGGAAAACATTTGATAAACACATAGTGAGCTCTTTTCTTTTAATTTACAGTTATACAGGTTTTTAGTACAGAACTTCCGTTTGTGAAATTGATAGTATTAATTTCAAAGAAAACAAGCATAGACAGCGTGCTTTATTTGTTGGTACATTCATTAAATGTTACGAAATGTCCTTTATTGATACAAAATATCGCTAATATAATATCCAAGCTGGAAAAATTCAAAACTCAAAAGCCTAAAGAAACTGTGAAAAATCAGCTCCTTAGTTCAGAAGATTTTATTGCAAGGATGTAGGTGTTCAAATCACGAGGGTTGGCATGGATGACACGTCTAATTGACAAATATGTAACTTCCATGTCATGAGAGCCACGAACTAGAGTATATCAGACGGTTCGAATATCACATGGTTTTCATCCTAAATGTACTGATTATTTGAGGAGCATGTTGCAACCGCATGCTGAGTAATTTGTGACTACGATGGTACCATTTCGAGTGGTGCTTTGATAGCTGGATTGACCAGGAAGAAGTTTAACACGATTGAGCTTGGTTTCGCTCATTCTAACGACACCTGCATGCACAGTAGCAGCAGCGAGATTTGAATCATCTGTGTCAGTAGTGGTAGGGAGTGTTGAGATTATCAGCGTCTAGAAAGAGAAAATAAATTAGTTTGTACTGAAATATTTTAGGTTTAATGGTTGTGAGGAAAAGTAGACTTTCCCTGTTAGAATATTTAATTATACAATTTCTTTTTCGAATGATATAAATGTTTTTCTCCTCTCTGACTTTAGTCTCATTTGTTATACATATACAATGATCAAAACTGATGTTATATCTTATCGATCTAAGTGTTTTAAGTAAGACAGATGTGGGAGATGACCAGAGATATCAGATCCAAAGCAAGAAAATCAGAAAGATCTCAGAAAAAGAGGTGCGCAGTTTTATTGACGGCAACCTCGGTCTCGAAATCATTGAAAAGCGTGGTGAAGATAAATCGAACTTTAAATTGCAAACATCATGGTTTAAGAAACCGGTACGTTGCGCGGTATTCACAGACCGACGTTTAGACGGAGTTTACCGAGGTATATAAAACCGTAAAAAAGCGCGGTTTCAGATACCGCTGTTCATTCTCACTAAACTGCATCCCTTTGAAACCGCGATTTTCAAAACTCGATACGACCAAAACACGCCTGCTCAAAACCGTGGTTTTCATCGGCTTTTCAAACCGCAGTGTGGATCGAAGAAATCGTGGTTCGTCCTTCCGCGGTTAACCGCATTTTTTTTTGAAATGACACCGCGGCTTGATACAAAGAAATCGCGATGAGACAAAATAAACCGCGGTTTTATTCGAAAAAATTTTTCGTGGGCAGTGTGAGGGATTGGGAGTTGAGTTCACCCAAAGTATCTCACCTTGAGAATCACAGAGTCTTGGGAGAACATACATTTTAATAAACATATTACAAGTCTCCATTGGAGAGTTAACCGAGTTAACTAATTATCGAACTGTGCTATTTCTCTGCCTTTTGTTCTTTTAGATCGGCAGATGTATGAACTTTAAAAGAACGCAATTTATAAGCTTGATTTATTTTATATTGCAAATGCTAGAATAACACTTTACGAGATAACACACAAAGAGGAGTCGTCGTCCTCGTATATTATCCTTGGTTCAGGTGGAGGTCGGGAAGCTATTTCTATAAGCTTAGCTTGAAGCTGGTTGTTAGCTTCTTGAACAGCCCGGATTTGCTGTTGGGTAGCTTCTCTGTCCTTGGATATCAGATCGTACAAACGTTGTGAGTGATCAGCATCCTTACGCGCATTTTGCAATTCATTTTCGAATCTTTTACATTCTTCCTCGAATCGACGCTTTTGTTCAGCATACATCTCTTCTTGTCGTTGAATTGCTCGTTCGAAAGATTCTTTTTCGCTCTTTTGATTGGCAAGTGTTTCATTCAGCAGATCTTGACTGTAGCCTATTTGCTCCATGTACCTGTCTCGCTCAGCTTCGAATTTTGCTTGTTGCTCTTTAATTAGCTGTTTTGCTTGCTTCAGTTGATCGATAATGATTTCGATCTCCTGCCGCTTTTCGTGTTTCGATGGTGTGAATTCCACCACAGTCTAAATTTGCAAGAAAAGGCACACGCTTGTGGTAAATGGTTTTTCCTCAGATATTACAGCAACAACTATCCTCATGCTGTTTAACTTTAAACCAAATTCAGGAATCAGACAATGAAAATGAGAAAATGGGCTCGATTTTCGAAAGCAGGGGACGTAACGCTCCACAACCCTACATTAACCCATCTTTCTATTCGTAAATTATCAGACGATTGAAGAACTAATCGTTCATAGGTTTTATAGTAACGAAATTATTTATTATCAAAACTCTCGAACTTACTTGCAACAGTTGTTCCTTGATACGTTGTTTCTCGCTCTGATCATCCTCATCGATGAAATCCAAAAAGCAGAGATTGCGGTTGTTGACATCGACGCCCTTGAGTAATTGTTGAAGTAAAACAAGAGTTGTACCTTCATAATCACTCTCCCGCTTTTTCTTAGGGATACCATTGACGACGAGTACTAGTGATTTAGATCGAAATGGATAGGCTGCATTGATTGCATTGAAAGCTACAACATCTTCTTCCCGAATTCGTCCACCTTGTTGACCAAACACATACATGACTATTGAATTGGGTCGTTGTGCAAAAGCCTTGTCAATTTCCTTCTTATTCAAGTCAATACGTTCTTGTTCGGCTTCAATCAAACCGGGAATGTTAAAAATAGCCAAAGGGTGATAGCCTATTTGGATTTCTTCGAATTCAGTACTGTGAGTAACAGAAGTCGAACTAAATTTGTGAACAAAAGCTTCACGACCAAGGAGTATATTGGCTAGAAAGCTTTTGCCAACACCTGAATTGCCCAAAATAATGAGACCGTGTTGGTTGCTGGTATTGATGATATTCTGATCCACTCTTTCTGCATTTTGCGCGAATTTGGACATCGAAGGATCTTTGCTGGTAATTTGCTTGACGAACAGAAAATGAAAAGTGCATCACAGTATGGTGAGATTTTATAGACAACCCCGCAGTGACGTATTTCGTAGGTGGTAAAAATCCAATTATATCACTTGTCAGGTCATTGGAGAAGAAAGAAAGAATTAACAACGCGTCGACATCGTGAACTGCTGATAAAAGCGAGTTAGGTTGGAAGGTTTCTCTTTTTTCTTTCTATTTCTATTAGCTGATAAGATCGTGACAATGTTGGAAGTTTTGTCTCGCGTTCTTCTTTCGTTTCGGTATAATGATCGATTAAATGTATGATTTATGATATGATCGATCTCAAAGCATGCAGTCAAGTCGAATCAGACGTAGATTTGGCCATTTTGCAAGCTCTACATCATTATTTTACCAATTATATAATTATAATTGAACTCAATTAGGATGCATTGGCATTAGTTTCTATATGTAGTATTTATTTTCGATTCAAACGTCTCAACCAGTGTGAAACACTTATTTTAAGTTAATCATGAAGAGAACACTCTAAAAAGAAAATGCACTTAGGATCAAATTAAGTCGCGTTAGTAATGCGACTTAATTTGATTCTAAGTTGCATTTTTTTAGAGTGAATAAGATATGAAGAAAGCGAATCAGTTTAGGTTAGATTGCGTGAAATCAAGTGCAGTTGTGCTTATTGAAGAATGAGTGAGCTTCAGTGGATCGGATCACCGGCGTTATTTTCGGATACACGTTTTTATTAAATGCAGATTAAATGACCTACCATGTATGAAGTTTGATCAATATCTATTCGAGTAAACCAAAACTCTCTTTGTAGATGAGCTATTTGAAATTTGCAGTGATCATGTGTAACGATGTAACACTGGTCAGCAATACTATTGTTTTTATGAAACAATGGGATTATTCGGTAAAATTTCAAAAATTAAAACTTATCATTACATTCATCTACATGGAGCGGTAATCATTATGTATCAGGCATCGAAATCGAGCAGATTTTCGATGGCGTGGTCACCAAATTACACCTAGATCTCAGTTCCTTCAAGACTGGGATGACTGAAAGTTATTTTGCTAAGCACTGGCCTGTCCGCTGAGTGTACTATGCCCATTCGGTCAGGCCCGGTCTGACACTGATTTCTGCAAAAAGAACTCAACGATCACTCGATACTTCACGAGAAAATTATAGAAAGTTCATTATCATCGTGATAATGAGTATGATAACTTCAGATATTCCCCATAATTATAAAAAGTTATATGTGAGAGAAGAAGCATTCATTATTTAACCAAAAAACAAAACGTTCTCGATAGTACTCGGAGTTCAAGATGACAAACACTCATTAATAAGAAACCGCCAGTAATATATTTTTGATTGCTTAATTTCAAAGGATTAGATAAACTACTATTTGTAGTTTATGCTATTAATTTTATTCTATCATGCTCACATACTGTTTATTGTAATTAGCATTCCACCCATAGCCTTGTATGTGAAGGAGAAGTATCATCAAACTGAAAAAGTGCTCTGATTTTATTGATTATCTAAATGAAACTTATAAAACGCTTGTATCGTAGAGCTTTCTGATTATTTTAATTTGCAACATGCATAAATCTTGATTAAGAAAAGGAGTAAAATGTTGGGCCGAGCGGCCCATTTCAAGGCCTGCTATGTGTGTTGAATGCATTTAGAGTTCCAGTAAAGATCCTGTTTTTTCAGTAGAAGCCAAAAAGCTCTGTTGAAGCGTCGAAAACTCAGTTATGGTGTCAGAATGCAAAATTGACGCCAAGCGTTTTAAATTCTGATGCAACACTCTATCTTTCGCAACTTCTATTTCTCATGCAAATCAACCCGTTCTTGTAGCCAACAGAATATTTGTTTGATTTATAGCATAATCAAATAAGAAATAAAGTGCTGCTTCCACTTTGAAACCAGTTTTATGACAATACTAATGAATGTCAAAGTGAATTGTCTCTTATGACTTTCCATGTAGTCTCAGCTGATCATAATAATTACAAACTATGTTTTGTCGAACATTGTAACGAAGAAGATATGCATTTTAATAATTGTAAAATCACATACGACTCATGCATCACTAGGGTTTTATTAAAAAGTATTTAGAAGAATATCAATAAATTAGAAATAGCTAGTAATTTCACAATTTATTCAGAGCACATATAATCAAGAACAAGAAGTGAATAAAACAAATATATTGCTTTTACATCTCTTGATCTTGAAAATGTGTCTGTTTAGATCGTTTAGCTTGAGGTTTTTCAACGGTAATTCAAGCCTATATTTTTTGTGAAAATTCTTAAATATTAAAGAATTCTTATTAACATTAGGAAAGTAGTTATATCCAGAAATCATGCATTAGCTTATCGTTCTTGAGGCGAAGGCACTTATTATATAAGAGTAACTTCTATATACTACGAATATAAATAGTGCCGAAGTATTTAAGAGATAAATTGTACACACGTGTCAATATGTTATTAGATCTATAATTTGAATTTCAAACTTCTTGGTTCTCGTGTTTTAAGTATCAGTGCAGCTAACTATTTGCACAACTAAAGACATTCTCGAAGAGAAAATGAAAAAGAATTATAAATAAGTATGATTATGTTGTGTTTTGAGCAATTTCACTTTTATTGTTATATAGTAATAACCAGAGTTGAGGGGTGGCAAAATATATGCATCTAGTATAAAGTCGATGCATCTAGATGTAAAGATGGAAGCGGCTCACTCTCATCTTCTCCCCGCCACCTTCTCTACGCTGAATCTTGATCGTCATTCTCATATCGTGGTAGCTATGTGAAAAAAGTCAGGTTTTATGAAGTGTTGCACAGTGTAAAAGTGCGTCATGCGACAGGGACAGAAAGATAAGAACAAAGTTTTTTAACATAAGTCGTTCTTATTAGCTGGAAGAACGAGAAAAAGGCACATTCCAACCACAGTCGCTTTTGTCGGCAGGTTATGACGTAGATTCGTTTCTTTTTCGTTCCTAAAAGAATGGCCTGACACTTGATATCATTGGAGTTTTACCACCTACGATACAAACAAGCACAGAGCGGCGTATAAAACTTTGTGATTTACACTTCATTTGTCCTCCTACAATAAATTACCAAGATGGATGCTATAAAAAGACTCACTGAATCTATTGCCACCCATGGTGCAGAAATTCCAGATGGTAACGATACCGATACCGTCGAGCAATTCGGTCTCATCATTCTTGGCAATTCAGGAGTTGGGAAGAGTTTTCTAGCAAACGTACTTCTTGGTCGTGAAGCTTTTGCTCATAAGTTTAGTTCCAGTTCCGTTACACACACTACTGAGTTCGAAGAAATTGAACTTGGCGATTTGTCCTTGGCTGTTTTCAATATTCCTGGTTTGATTGAAGCTGAACAAGAGCGTATCGACTTGAACAAAAAGGAAATTGATAAAGCTTTCGCACAGCGACCTAATTCGATAGTCATGTTCGTGTTTGGCCAGCAAGGTGGACGAATTTGTGAAGAAGATGTTGTAGCTTTCAATGCCATCAATGCAGCCTATCCATTCCAACCTGAATCACTTATGCTCGTCGTCAATGGATTGTCTAAAAAGCGACCAAACAATTATGAAGGTGCAACTCTTATTTTGCTTCAAAAGCTTCTTAAAGATGTTGATGTCAACAGCCGTAGTTTGTGCTTTTTGAACCTTATCGATGGCAATGATCCAGACGACAGACAACATCTTAAGGAACGACTCCTACAAGTGAGTTCGATAGTTTTCATTATGATTTTTTTCGTTATTATTGCGTTCTTGATGGAAATTGCCACCACTTATGTGCTGACTAAAACAGCAGAGACTACTCCGTTTAACTGATTCAAGGAACTTGGCATTCATATTATCTTCTATTCGACAGAAAACTTTATAATGCTTCTTATGAATCCTCAACTTTAATATGTTTAGAGAATTTTGATATCGAAAGATAATTTTCCTGTAATAGTTAGGGAAATGTCGAGTCAGGCTCTACAGCTTAGACGCATAGTATCATGTCATTATAATGCTGAATTTGTAAATATACTTTTTTCATTATCACTGATCGATCGTAAAAGCTAGTCTAGAGTGACAAATAGACTGAGAGTATTTTTTGCTGCGTTATTTGAAGACAACAGTCACCAAGAAGCATTTTCTTCTTTTCGTATTTTCAGGTAGTGGTAGAGTGTGTACCATCGAAACACGAAAAGAAGCAAGAAATCGAAACGCTGCTCGATCAACTGAAAATGGGAACACAGCAAATTCAAGAATTACAAGCGCAAATCGAAACCGAGAAAGAGAAGTACAAAAAAGAAATCGAAGAAAGTCAACGTGTATTCAACCAATCGATTGCTAAACATCAGACCGAAATTGAATCCTTGCAACGCGCAATTCAACGACAAGATGAGTTGTACGCTGAACAACAGCGCCGGTACGAAGAAGAGAACCGGAGATATCAAATTCAATTGCAAGAATTACGTGCACAAGCTGAGCAAGCACAACGTTATTACGAGCAACTTCGCAAGGAGCAGGAAATTGCGCAACAGCAACTTTGGGCTGCAGAAAAAGCTAAGCAACAGGCCCAAGCAACGCTCCAAGCATTAATTAATCAACCACCAACCCCCCCGAGAGTAATATATATGGGCGGCGGCGGTGGCCGCGGATGTGTCATTTTGTAAACTATTTTCCTCAAGTATTTTAATATGGAATGAATCAAAAATTTAGTAATTGCATTCTTTCAAAGGTCTTTGCTTTTTCTCTCATATTTCTATGGAACCAATAGGAGAAATCAGAGGGTTATTATGATTTTATGCTTAAATTAACAAAAACTTCATCGGAGAAAGAGTAAGATATTCACTGTCATTTGACATGTCCGCGACAGATACACACATATCCATCATTTATTGTGACCTCTTCATCTAGTAAATGATACTACAAGAAAATAATCTTTGATATATAATAACGTTAGGAGTGAAATCTGCATCTTTAAATAAATTGTGTCAAGTTCGAGCTAGCTCGATTAACATCTTCTCCAATAGATAGATATAAAGTAATTACGACAGCAATTACACCATATACATAGGAGAAGTCCTCAACGATGTTTCCTACTAACGACAAGATATCTAACTCAAACGGAAAGAATGATAATTTTTTTTTCAAGTATCGTTAGTTATTTAAATAAAAGGCAATTAACATGAGTAAAATTAAAATCGATGCAAGTCTTTTCTCACGATAGTTCTGCTGGCTTCTCGCATTAGTAATACTCAATAATGTTTTCTAAGTTGAAGAAAGCGATCATGTTCTACTATTGATGAGTACTGCGACATATCTACGTAATATATTGTTAATGATGAGCGATATTTTCACTTGTATCATTCAAGCAAATGATTATCTGTCGTGAGCACTTTAAATTGAGAGTTAAGAACAATCGAAGTCGGCAAAAATCTTTGACTAAATGTAAAATTAGGCTTAAATGCACTGTAATATTTGAAAGGAGGAGATAAAATGGGCTGCTGATGATAAGATGACCTTATTATAATAAATTATTCACGAGAATCAATGAAACAATTATCTCATTTATAGAACAAATTATTTTCGATATACTTTTAAATTCAGATGTGACATTAGAAATCTAAAAAACACATTTTACTATCGCTGTAACATAAAGATTCAGACAGAACATTCTATGATTCTAAAAAGACACTCTGCACTCGTCAATGCTTCGTATATCACACTTAGGATGTTACAAACAAAATCAAGTAAGAATTAAAAAAAGTTTTGTTGTCAATTGAACAATTTCATAAATTTAAATCAAATTGACAATCAAACTCTTTCACATCAGTGTAATATTATTTATTTCTACTTATAGTTTATTTTTCCATTACGAAAAACTATAATTATTAAACTATTTACTGAAAATTGCCACTTGAACTGATGATAACAACCAAAATCAATAGTCAAAATTAGATGTGACATGTAAGAATTGCAAACAAATTTCGACTCAAAACCTTTTTTTACAAAAATGCATCTGATAAACTTTAGAGTTAGTGAATCCTCTGTTGTCATTATCGATCTTTTACTGAAAATTCCCATTTGAACTGATGATAACAACCAAAATCAATAGTCACATTTCAAAACTCTTATATATTTCGAGGATGAATACTACCAGTATGTAGGAGGTGCAAATCGGAAAGACAATCCAATATATTATGCGTAAGATGATTCGAGTTTCAAAGTTTCTGTTTTTCATAACTTGAGAGTCATTGAAGTTAGCTGTCTTCTAAACTGTAATTGTTTTTAATGTAGAATGAGGTGAAGAAACGGATAAATCAATATTATCGTGTTAAATAATGTGCCATGTCTTTTTTGCTTGTATTTAACTCAGGTCACTAACCTCACTTATCAATCAAAACTTGTACTTTTTCATTCTCAAACACAGAAAAGTTTAATTTAGCAAATTATTATTCAACTTGGGTCAACTGTCCACAATTCAAAAATTCTTTATTTGAATATAAATACATAAGGAGTATGAATCCTGAAATATTTCACAGTGTTGAAAGACTTTGTACTTGTCAAAGTATATATTATGGTAACGAGAAATCTTCCAACTTGACTCATTCTTATCAGTAGTTTAAAATACAGGCACAATCTACTTTTTTCATCCTTATCAATGAGGTCTGACATTTGGCCTCATTGGATTTTTACCATCTCTAAAACACATAAAGTGTAGAAGTGAGTATAAAGCGTTTGCTTATTTCAGTGTGTCCTTTATTCGGTATTCACCAAGCAGATCAATACATCTTCAGCGTTACAAACTACAATACCATGAGCAACGCTAATCAACATGGTCTCATTATTTTGGGCAATTCAGGTGTTGGCAAAAGCTTTTTGGCCAACATAGCCATAGGTCGTGACGCTTTCGTTCACGAATTTAAGGCCACTTCAGTTACACACAACACTGAATCTGTCGAGGTTACAATTGGTTCTTACACATTGACCATTTTTAACATTCCCGGTTTGATCGAAGCTGAACAAGAACGTATCGACTTGAACAAACAGGAAATCGGCAAAGCTTTTGCACAACGATCTAATTCGATCGTCATGTTCGTGTTTGGTCAAAAAAATGGACGAATTCGGGGACAAGATATTGTGGCTTTCAATGCCATTAATACTGCTTATCCATTTCGACCTGAATCACTTGTGCTTGTCGTTAATGGAATTCCTAAAGAACGACCGAATGATTATGAAGAAACGACCTTGGCTCTTCTTCAAAAACTACTCAAAGGCGTGGATGTCAACAATCATAATCTTTGCTTTACTGATTTGATCAATGTGGATGATCCAAAGGAAAAACAAGTTTTGAAAGATCGACTGTTGTCAGTAAGTTTGAGAAGTGTAGTAGTGAACTATTTCTTTTTCAGGATTCCTTCCAGGTAGTTTTGTTTCTTGGAAGTATTTCACATTCAACTAATGATAGAATGAATAGTAAAAGCGTCCTGTCTTGTAGGTTAAAGGTTCTTAATGAAACGAGATTGCTACTCTGCTTCAAATAATCTCGGGTATTTGAGTTAAAAGTGTTTTTTATCAGAAAAAAAACTGAATGATTTTTCTTCACAATTTTCATCTGAATTCTTTTTCGAAATAAGTGGCATGTGAAAAAGGTAATTTGCTTTTCAATATTTTTGTCGTAAGATGTTGGATGAGAATGCATAGACGACAGCTGGATATGTTTCCACCTTAATTGAAACATGGGAAAAGAGTATAGACAGACAAAGTGCTCTAAATAGTTTTAATTGAACTGCTCTCATAGTCGAATTATACGCACCTTTCTGCCATTAAGTGCCATTGTGTACGTCTGATTACTTTTCTTACTTTATCGCACGTCTGCTACTCTTTTGTGGTATCCTTAAAACTTTTTTTTAGTCGTCCCTAATTGTAAAATAGTTTATTGATAAAAATATTCTTTTCCTTGGTATTTTCTTTTTTTAAATTTAGTCTAGACTGATTCACATAAGTAGCCGTGTATTGTGAGATGACATTGGTAGAATAACATTTGCTGTAAATTATTCGTATTTTCTTAACAATTAGGTAGTAATGAACTTTACACCAAAAACACATGAAAAGAAGCAAGATATACAAACGGTCATTAGTGAACTAAAGAAAAGGGCAGATGAAATTCAAGAACAACAAGCCAAACTAGAAGCCGAGCGAGAGAAGCATAGAAAGCAAATGGAAGAACAAAAACGCATTGCTGAACAACAAATGGCAGAACAGCGGAGAAGGGAAGAAGAGTTGCGACAAAGACTCGAGCAAAAAGAAAAGCAACGTATTTCAGGAATACGTCACAGGACAGTACAACGTGCTGCACAAGAAGCAGAAGCAAAAAGACTACGAGGTATGTATTGATTGTA